AGTCTCTTCTTAAAACCTCCAGTGATGGAGCACCCACAACCTTTGGAGTCGTTCCACCGATTAATTGTTCTAACAGTCAGGAAATTCCTCCTTCGTTCCAGGTTGCTTCTCTCCTTGATGAGTTTCCATCCGTTGCTTCTTTTCCTGCCTTCGGGCGCTTTGGAAAATAGCTTGACTCCCTCTTCTTTGGGGCAACTTCTCTCCAGCCTTCTCTCTCTGACTAGGGAGAAGTTGCCTGAAAGGGGGGGGGGGGCTCCAGCCCAAGTCCCAAAAGCTCGGAAGACAAAAAAAAAAAAAAAAAACCTCTGGTCCTTGGTGACCAGCCCAGATTGCATTCTGCGATTTTTATTTTTCTTCGCCTTGCAGGGCCGCTGCGTCAGACCTTTGCCGAGAACCCTATGAAGAACCTGCAGCTCGAGTCTAGCAAGACGACGACGACAAAAAAGAGACCCTGGGAAGACACATTAATCTGAAGACAACAGGACTCTACTCCATTTCCTCTCGGGTTCCTTATCCCCTCGTCTCATAGTTCAGAGGTCCCCAACCCCGGAACCATAGACCGGTACCGGGCCGTGGCATGCCGTAAACCGGGCCGTGCAAAAAAGCGAAGCTCCATCCGTGGGAGGCAGGCACCACACAAAACCATGCCATGCTCCGGTCCGTGGTGGACAAAAACCTCTCTCCTCAGAAGAAGCGGTCCCCGGTGCCCCAAAGGTTGTGGGGGGGCACTGTCATCGTTCCATTCATCACTAATAAAGGATGCTCTCTTTGGTTCTGTTCCTGCCTCCTATTGCAAACTTAAGAATCTGAAAGAAGGACAGGTAGTCCTCGACTTAACGACCGTACGCTCAGTGACCGTTGGAAATCACTCAGGATACGAGGTTCCTTTCTCCAACCCAGCCTGCCGTGTGCCGCTCGTCAGGTAGTCAACAACCGTTCGTTGAGTGACGTTCAAAGATAAGAACGACACTGACAAAAGGGACTTATGACCGTTTTTCACACTTGCGACTGTGGCAGCCATCCCTGCGATCACCTGGTCAAAATTCAGCGGCTTGGCAAGTGACTCCTATTTAGGACGGTCGCAGCGTCCCGGGGATGTCACGTGATCCCCTTTTGCGATCTTCTGACGAGCAAAGTCAGTGGTAACAACCGTGTTGCCAACTTAAACAACTGCATCAATTCGCTTAACGGGGGCCAGAAAGGTCGTAACAGTGGAGCAAAACTCACTTAGCGACCTGAATTTTGGGTACAGTTGCCGTCGTTGGGGACTACCACCATACCCACGTACTGCTGTAACTCCCCAGCTACCGACTGCTCATAGGTCCCCAACCTTTTGGACACCAGGGACCGGTTCCGCGGAGAGAGGTTTTTTCCACGGACAGGAGGCTACGTCGTTTGGTGTGCTGCCTGCATCCCGCGGATGGGGCTTTGCTTGTTTGTGCAGCCCGGTTGCTGGCATGCCACGGCCCAATACCGGTCCACGGTCGGGAGGGTTGGGGACCCCGATCACAGAGGAAATGAAAAGGACACTGCTTTAACACTTAGGGACTGCCAGGAGAAATCTTGGCAGCTTTTTCTGCAACGTTTTTAGAAATAACTTGTCATTGCCTTCTTCACTGTCTTCTTGCCCGGGCCGAGAGATGATTGGTTCGGCATTGGGCTGAAGGTAGAAGTAAGTGCCACAGTTTCCCCTTTTCTAGATTGGTGCATTTAATAACTACACCAATTTTTAATCACTAGTATCTTGCGTATAGTCCAGGCCATGGTTTTCCCAGTTGCAATGTATGGCTGTGAAAGTTGGACCATAAGAAAGGCTGAGCACCAAAGAATGGAGGCCTTTGAACTCTGGTGCTGGAGAAGACTCCTGCGAGTCCCCTGGACTGCAAGGTGTTCAAACTGGTCAGTCCTAGAAGAGATCAACCCCGACTGCTCTTTAGAAGGCCAGATCCTGAAGTTGAAACTCAAATACTTTGGCCACCTAATGAGAAGAAGGACTCACTGGAGAAGGGCCTAATGCTGGGAAAGATTGAGGGCAATAGAAGAAGGGGACGACAGAGAATGAGATGGCTGGATGGAGTCACTGAAGCAGTAGGTGTGAACTTAAATGGACTCCAGAAGATGGTAGATGATAGGAAGACCTGGAGGGACGTTTTCCGTGGGGTCGCGATGGGTCGGACACGACTTCGCAATTAACAACAACAAATCTTGCACCAGGTACAAACTTGGCAATGGTTGAGAATTCAGTTCTAGATGTGATCAGATCATCTTTGAGGTCTCGGATGCAGTTCAACCCTATTAGGTCCTCAAGGAGAACAATCTTTTTTAGCCACCGCGCATTTTTTTATTCCCTAATACAGAGGTCCCCAACCTTGTGGGCACCAGGGACCGCTTCCGTGGAGAAAGGTTTTTTTCCGCGGACCGGACGGTGCGTGATTTTGTGTGCTGCCTTCCTCTCACGGATGGGGCTTTGCTTGTTTGTGCGGAGCAGTTGCTGGCATGCCGTGGCCTGGTACCGGTCCACAGACTGGGGATTGGGGACTTCTTGTGCCATATCCATTATCGGACGTTGGCGATCCTGTTGGCGATCCTGTTTTTATCAGCAGCCGCACGAAAAAGTGCTGCTGAGTTTTGTCCATACCAGTCCGTTAGATTTTGAAGCCACGATGTTCTTCTTCTGCCTGGACCTCGTTTGCCTTCAATCTTTCCCTGGAGGATTAAATGGAGTATGCCGTATTTTTCTGGGTGTTGCATCACAGGTCCGAACTATTCTAATTGTCGTTTTTTAATTGTTTTGATGATTTCCCTCGGCTTTCCCAGGCGGCTTATCCCCTCCTCATTTCTGATCTTGTCAACCCCGCTTATACGTAGTAACAGCCACCCTGTAAATCCACATTTCAAATGCTTCTAGTCTCTTCAGTGTCAGAGACCAACTCTCTACTCCAGTGGTTCTCAATCTTTTTAATGCCGCGACCCCCAACCGGTTGTAAGTCGAGGACTACTCAACCGGTCGTAAGTCGAAGACTACTCAACTGGTGCAGCACCGTTTGCAGAATGGGACTTTTGGCGGGCTCAGCAGGGCAGAGACAGCCTGGACAATTCCTATTGGCTTTTGAAAGCCAATAGAATTAGACTCTATTCAAGACAGTCTTTTCTATTGGCTTTCAAAAGCCAATAGAATAAAAGGGAGTAGCACAGCTAAGGAAAAGGGGGAAAAAAATGGCGGACTGCGTTGTTTGGCGACCCCCGTGAAATGGTCGTTCGACCCCAAATGGGGTCCCGACCCACAGGTTGAGAACCACTGCTCTGCTCCATAGAGCAGGATAGAAAAAATATAGCATCTGACAAGCCTGATTTTCAGTCTTAGACTTATGTCGTGACTGCAGAAGACCTTTTTCATTTTGATGAATGCTGTTCGGGCTTTTTCTATCCTTGTCTTTACTTCAGCGGTCATGTCCCATGGACCCCCTGCCCTAATGCCACTGTCCTACAGTCTCCCTTGGCCCATGTTGAGGTAGTCCCCGATTTAGGACTAGAACCGAGCCCCGAATTTCTGTTTTTAAGTGGGGCCTTCGTCGAGGGAGCTTTGCCCCATTTCACGACTTTTCTCGTCACCGTCATTAAGCGAATCATTGCAGTTGTTCAGTTAGTCACGCGGTTTGTTAAGTGAGCCCGGCTTCAGCCACTGACTTTGCTCAGAAGGTCGCCTAAGGGGATCACGTGACCCCAGGATATTGTGATGGTCACAAAACGAGTCAAGGCCAAGCATGTGGATGTTGGTCACGTGATCCTGAGGGGGATGCCTCGACGGTCATAAGTGTGAAACATGCGTTAGAAGTCACATTTTTGGCGCTCTGGTAACGTTGAAGGCTCACGAAATGAACCGTTTGTAAGCTGAGACTTAACCTGCACATTCAGGAAGGGGGGGGGGAAGCAGGAGGGTGTGGGTGAATATATCTCAGCAGAAACGAGGAAAAGTGGGGTTTAATAAGAGCAACCCTAACCAAAATGAAATTCACTGGTGAAAAAAGTAAGCTACATTAAATACTAATAATAAGGCAAAAAAAACCAAATGTATAGGTATAGTATAGGGGGTACCTTGCTTAATAGTAGTAACTGTGAGAGGGACCTCGGAGTCCTAGTGGACAATCATTTGAATATGAGCCATTAGTGTGTTGCAGCTACCAAAAAGGCCAACACAGTGCTGGGCTGCATTAACAGGGAGAGAATCAAGATCACGTCAAGTGTTAATACCACTTTACAACGTGTGGGTAAGGCCACACTTGGAATACTGCATCCAGTTTTGGTCACCACGATGTAAAAAAGATGCTGAGACTCTAGAAAAAGTACAGAGAAGAGCAACAAACATGATTAGGGGACTGGAGGCTAAAACATATAAGGAACGGTTGCTGGAATTGGGTATGTCTAGTTTAACGAAGAGAAGGACGAGGGGGGACAGGATAGCCGGGTTCAGTATCTCAGGGGTTGCCACAAAGAAGAGGGAGTCAAGCTATTTTCCAAAGCGCCTGAAGGCAGGACAAGAAGCAAAGGGTGGAAACTAATCGAAGAGAGAAGCAACCTAGAACTAAGGAGAAACTTCCTGACAGTGAGAACAATTAACCAGTGGAACAACCTGCCTCCAGAAGCGCTGAATGCTCCAACCCTGGAAGTTTTTAAGAAGAGACTGGACAGCCATTTGTCCGAAATGGTATAGGGTTTCCTGCCTGAGCAGGGGGTTGGGCTAGATGACCTCCAAGGTCCCTTCCAACTTTTATTAGTAGTAGTAGTAGTATTACATCGGCTTGGGCCCTCCAGATGTTTTGCATCATAGCTTCCGTAAACAGCAGGATCTGAAGATCTGGAAGACATCGAGACGGCACAGCCGTGGATTGCGGTTTTGAAAATAAAAGGGCAAAAGCTGGACTGGAGAGGTGTGGCAAAAATTACTGAGACGTTACACACCAAAGACCTTTTTTAAAAAAGAAATAATAATGATTAAAGGAAATTTGTGGAATGCTGAGCATTTACTGGGCTTGGCCCCCAAGGACAGGTCCGCTCTGCCCCATAACAACCACCACACAAAGAAAAATAATAATAAAAATCCCTGTAGTAAGTACAATACTCCCGACGAAGTATCAAATAATAAATTAGAAGGAGTCCATTGCAGGGGGATGACGGGAGAAGCCAGCCTCTCTCGGATGGTTGTCGTCACTGAGACTTGATTTCGGGATCCATCTCGGTCAGGACAGACAAGGACACTAACTGGATGAGGCGGGTCACGCGGGCTGGGAAAGAAAAGATCAGTCAGCATTTGGGTGAAGAACGATTCAACTAAGGAAGAGATAGTCGCAGGAGGAAAGCCACAAAGGATCTAGCACAGTGGTTCTCAACCTTTTTAATGCCGCGACCCCCAACCAGTTGTAAGTCGAGGACTACTCAACCGATCGTAAGTCGAGGACTACTCAACTGGTGCAGCACTGTTTGCAGAATGGGACTTTTGGCGGGCTCAGCAGAGGGAGGCTCCGATGAATCACAGGATTGACGGTTTGATGCAGCGCCTGGGCCCTCCAGTCGTATTCCTGATGAAGCTCAACTGTGTGAGGAGAACGAGTCAGACTTGGAGGACTCACACTTGATGGACATGCTAATTGATGCACGCACACGTCGTCAATTAGCGAGAGTAAATCAGCAGCAGTCAGTACAGCAACTCCAGGGTCAAAGGAGAAGGCAACGAGAGGCAACGCCTTGGGGCTGCTGTATATAAAGAGGAGGTGTGGGCGGTGCTGGTTGCTAAAGGCAACCGTTTGCAAAGTTCTTCTTCGGATCCTGGTCTGTTCGTCTTGCTCGTGGCTATCCTTCTGTTTGCATCGTGTTTCCTGTGGACTATTTCCTTCCTTTGGATTGAGTTTTGCTGTTTGTGTTTTGGACTATTTGGCAGGTTGGTCACCCATGTTAAAAGGGGTTTGTTTTGTTTTAAGGCAGTGTTCTCAACCTTTTTAATGCCGCGACCCCCAACCGGTTGTAAGTCGAAGACTACTCAACCGGTCGTAAGTCGAGGACTACTCAACTGGTGCAGCACCGTTTGCAGAATGGGACTTTGGGCGGGCTCAGCAGAGCAGAGACAGCCTGGACAATTCCTATTGGCTTTTGAAAGCCAATAGAATTAGACTCCATTCAAGAGAGTCTATTCTATTGGCTTTCAAAAGCCAATAGAATAAAAGGGAGTAGCACAGCTAAAGAAAAGGGGGAAAAAATGGCGGACTGCGTTGTTTGGCGACCTCCGTGAAATGGTCGTTCGACCCCAAATGGGGTCCTGACCCACAGGTTGAGAACCACTGGTCTAGCAGGAAGCTGGTTCTAACGAACATCCTAGTTTCTCTAAGTCGGGTTGGCAACCTTAAATACTCAAAGAGCCACTTGGATCCGTTTGCCAGAAAAAAGAAAACACGGGGAGCCGCAAAACATGTGCGCACCCGTGCGTGCCCGCACACAAGGGAGAACTTGATTGAAGAGTTTAATTAAAAAGAAATAGAGGCTGCTGTGCATGAGTTCTCTCTCCCTCCCTCTTTCTCTCTCCCCCTCTCTCTCCCTCTCTCCGATCTGCTCACCTGTCAAGCTGGCTTCACACTGTCCTCCAACAAGCTGACACACATTCTTATTGGGCTGGCTCTCTCCTGCCCTTGGTCTGCCAGTCCTCTTCCCCCACTCAGTGTAAGAGAAATAGAGAGAGAGAGAGAGCTGCTGCTTCCTGCTGAGATGCAGCCAAGGCAGGAGCTCCACCCAATAAGCTTGTCAGCTTGTTTGAGAACAGCGTGAGGCCACTCTCTTTTTTACACATACACGCACAGAGAGAGAGAGAGAGAAGGGAAGCGCAAGTGCCTCTCTCTTTTCTCTCTCTCTGCAAATGGCAGAGGAGGCTGGGAGCCTCAGGAGAAGGCTCAAAGAGCCACATGCAGCTCCGGAGCCACGGGTTGCTGATCCGTTCCCTAAGTGATCCGTTATATGTATACGATAACAGTATTCCAAACTTTGAGGGGCTGCCACAAGGAAGAGGGGGGTCAACCTATCTTCCAAAGTACCCAAAGGCAGGACAAAAAGCAACGGATGGAAACTAATCAAGGAGAGAAGCAACCTGGAACCAAGGAGGAATTTTCTAACAGTGAAGACAATTAACCAGTGGAACAACCTGCCTCCAGATGTTGGGAATGCTCCAACGCTGGAGGCTTTTAAGAAGAGACTGGACAGCCCCTTGCCTGGAATGGTATAGGGCAGGGGTAGGCAACCTTGGCTCTTTTATGACTCGTAGACTTCAACTCCCAGAATTCCTGAGCCAGCCACGCTGAGGGGAAAGGGAGAGGTTTCCAAGCTGAGCCATGCTGGCTCAGGAATTCTGGGAGTTGAAGTCCACAAGTCATTGAGGGAGCCATAGTTCCCCCATGCTGGCTGAGGAATTCTGGGAGTTGAAGTCCACGAGTCATAAAAGAGCCAACATTGCCTAGCCCTGGTATAGGGTCTTCTGCTTGAGCTGGGGGTTGGACTAGAAGACCTCCAAGGTCCCTTCCAACTCTTGCTATTTTCAAGTTATAGTCAAGGAATACCGTCCTGAAGACGTTGGGGCTAAATTAAATAATTCCTCTTTATTAACTTCCCCCTCCTTCTAAATTGGAAAGCCAAGTGGGAAGATCTTTATATGGTGTTACTTATTTGGTGGAATTCTTCCGTCTCCTGCAAATATTCTTTGGAATATTTGGAAGTCTGGGGAAAGGGGAAAAAAGAAAATGGCTACTGAATCTATTCTCATTTCCCAGCTTCTTCTCTCAGTTAATCGTTGTGGCGGTTCTACACCAGTCCTCGACTTACAACGGTTTGTTTAATGGCCGTTTGAAGTTAACAGCAGCACTGAAAAATGTGACTTGCTGTTTTTCACGCAGCCATTGCCGCATCCCTGTGGTCAGGTGATCGGGATTTGAATGCTTGACCACTGGCTGATATTTATGACGGTCACAGCATCTCAGGGTCGTGGGATTCCCCTTTTGTGACCTTCTCATAAGCAAAAGTCAACGAGGAAGCCAGATTTGCTTAATGGCTGTGATTCACTGGGGCAAGGAAGGTCGTATAAAATGGGAGGAAAGTCATTTAACACACGTCTCGCTTAGCAGCGGAAATTTTGGTCTGTATTTGCGGGCCTTAAAATTGGGAACTCCCCGTGCTGGGGGCCCACTGAAGACAAACCTCAGAAATCCCCAGCTCCAATTCACTCACCCGTCACTCGCCGTAAGCAGTTCGGTCTTTTCTGATCTGGGACCCTCACCACCAGGAAGTAGACCGGAAGTCCAGAGGCCGCTATGGCAATGCCGATGGCTGAATTGATGGGGTCGGTGTAGAGCGGTACAGCCACCAGGAAGATGGTGCAGAGGCAAAAAATGATGGGGAAAACGATCGTCAACTAAAGGAAAGGGAAGTAAGAATTGGTTGACGTCTCACGACCAGCTCCCATCCATCACGCTAAGCCAGGACTTTTCAACCTTTTCACCCACTGTACCACTTTTAGGATATGGCAATGTCTGAGTACCACCAGGCGCCTAGAAAGGTGCCAAAAACTTGATAACCAAAAAAAAAAAAAGGAAAAAAGTGATAAAGTACAGGTAGTCCTCAACAGTCCACTTAGTGACTGTTTGAAGTTACAATGGCACTGAAAAAAGTGCCCCCCAAACCACAGCCGAGCAAGACACCTGCCTGCCCACCCAACGGCGTTCTTCCTCCTGTCCGAGGTTTTCATTGTTGTGAGCATTTCTGTTGAGAATTGGCAGCGGAGGTGGGATGGGGCCGTGTTTGGTTTTTATTCCCCCCGTCGGCTGGGTGATTGCAGCAGTTTTGGTCACTTCACATGACCCTGGGACAGTGTGACCATCATAAATATGAATCAGTTGCCAAGCATCTGAATGTAAATCACAAGACCCTGGAGAGGCTGCAACATTCCAGCTGATCGGCGCTTCTTCTGGGCTCAGCAGAAGTGTCAGGATCAGCGCCGAGCTCCAGCTGGAGCCTAGAGCTGATCCTGGTGCTTCCACTGAGCCCTGACAGCCCCAAAGCGTCAATCAGCTGGAAAGCGGCACTGATCCTGGCGCTTCCGCTGAGCCCTGACAGCCCTACAGCTCCAGCCGTCTCTCGCTCAGGCTTGTGCGGTGCTGCCACCGGTTCAGCTCATTCCCCTCCCCCCGCTACCACTTTTCTAGGATGGTCGTGTACCACCTGCCAGGTGCCAATGTACCACAGGTGGTACCTGTACCACTGGTTGAAAAGCCCTGCGCTACACTCTCAAACCAAATTTCAGACTCGCTCCAGTGACGGAGCGCCAAGAACATCTGGAGGCAAGGCGTTCCGCTGGTGAATTGTTCTCACTGTCCGGGAAAATCAGCCCTTTTTTGTCTAATTTCGGAGTGGGAACCACTCGCCACAGCCAGCTCATCGTGGCCAATTCAGCACAACCGACTCACCATATAGGGCAAACTTGCTGCGGGAGAAGTCAACAATTCGATTTAGTTATTTAAAACAATTGAAACATCATTTTCAATTTGGGGCATTTGCATTTTATCGCGTCCCTGCTTTGGCATCCTTTTTGAATGATTTTCTTCGATATTAGTGTAACGCTTGTCCCACAGCGAGTTGCCTGCGGTGAGTTGGCTACACCAAGTTGGCCATGTCAAAACTGAACTGAAGGGATACGACACCATCTATCCCCAGTCTACAACACAGTCCTTTCAGCAGTTCCAAGAAGGCTCCAAAACCATTTGCACCATTCAGGTGACCCTGAAGATACAGATAAATCTCCAAATGGCTCCACAACTCTCTAAAAAAAATGCAGGTGACCAGCTGTCAGCAAAGGAATATAAATCCTTCCATTCCCCACCATCTAGTCAGAGCTGGAGAAGCTTCTTGGATGAGGAGCGAAACGTCTTCAAAGAAAAACAAGAAAGACTAGTTGCCTCGTGGAAAAGCACCTTTGGGACAACCATGATCTGGAAAGCTGAAAATCTCCAAAGACATCTTGTCCCAATTGCAGTTATAAATCAAGAACCACCTGGATACTGATAGTCCTGGATTTTAAAACCATTCATTTAGTGCGGGGGTCTTCAAACCTGGCCCTTTTATGACTTGTGGACTTCAACTCCCAGAATTCCTCAGCCAGGCATGCTGGCTGAGGAATTCTGCGAGTTGGAATCCACAAGTCCTAAAAGGGGCAAGTTTGAAGACCCTTGATTTAGTGACTGGAGTTACAACACCACTGAAAACAGTACCTTATGACCAGTTTCCACAGGACTGTTGCCGCATCCCCGCGGTCACGTGATCAAAATTCAGACCCTTGGCAACTGACAATATACTTTACGATGGTTGCAGCGTCCCAGAGTCACGTGACCCCCTTCTACGACATTCCCAGCCAGCTTCAGACAAGCAAAGCCATTGAGGGAAGCCAGATCCGCTTAACGGCCGTGCGGTTCGCTGAACAACTTCAGCGATTCGCTTAACATCCGTGGTAAAAAAAAAAAATTCACAAAATGGGGCAAAATTCACTTAACGTTGGCAAATGCTTGGCAAGGGACATTTTTGGCTGGATTGTGTTCCTATGTCGAGGGCAACCTGTATAGTTGGCTTTGCCAGTTCGCAGATCCCTCTACCTCAGTGGTTCTCAACCTGTGGGTCGGGACTCCATTTGGGGTCGAACGACCATTTCATGGGGGTCGCCAAACAACGCAGTCCGCCATTTTTTTCCCCTTTTCCTTAGCTGTGCTACTCCCTTTTATTCTATTGGCTGTTGAAAGCCAATAGAATAGACTCTCTTGAATAGAGTTTAATTCGATTAGCTTTCCAAAGCCAATAGGAATTGTCCAGGCTGTCTCTGCCCTGCTGAGCCCGCCAAAAGTCCCATTCTGCAAACGGTGCTGCACCAGTTGAGTAGTCCTCGACTTACGACCGGTTGAGTAGTCCTCGACTTACGACCGGTTGGGGGTCGCGGCATTAAAAAGATTGAGAACCACTGCTCTACCTTGAGTGGACGTTCTCTAGAAGGTTCCTTCCAGCGAAGGTACAGTTGCCCGGCGATGGACAGGCCCACAAAGAACCAATAACTGAAGCTGTAGTAGTTGATGAGCTGAAAGATGTCTTCCACGCAAAGATAAATCAGAGCCATGGCTCCCTGCAAGAGACAGACATGACACCAGAGTGAAGCCGCGTTTGTCACGATTAGCCGAATAACGCTTTGGTTTTCCAGCAGCTTACTGTCCACCCACATTGCTTGGAAAGTGTAAGATGTGTCTCCGAAAAATAACAACCAATCCAAGGAGCAGAGTTCAAGACACCCAGTTCTGCCTACATCTGTCCCAAGGCACCGCAGAGACCTCCGTGACGGGTGACTTGGATCATTTTAGAGGATGATTCACGACTCTCCCTTCCTGGAGCTGAATCTGTGGTTTTTCACATAGCTGCCTGCTGACAGTTCACACCTACTCTTCCCCGCCCGATGCAGGAATTGGCTGGCTACTTGAAGGCAACACTAGATGCCTGAAGGCCTCTGGCTCAATCCATCGCTTTTTTATCGATTGAATCTCCTCCATTCCCTCCCACCATCTCACCCTGCAAAACCACGGCTCAGCTGTTTGGGAAAACTGTAGAGAAGCAGGACTGCACCAGAAGGGAGGAATTAACCATCAAGTGGGGTAATACCACCATTGGCATTGACAAATTTGCTATTAGTCAATTGCAAAAGGCGGCCTTACTAGGAACTGCTACCATCCTGCGACAATATCTGTAATACCATCAAACATCCACATCTGCCTATCCCAGGTCCTGGGTAAGGACTTGATAGGTAGACAAAATGCCAAATCCACCCTGAACATCTGGCTGACTGTGCGATAATCCACAATAATAATAATAATAAACATCCACATCTGCCTATCCCAGGTCCTGGGTAAGGACTCGATAGATAGACAAAATGCCAAATCCACTCTGAACATCTGGCTGACTGTGCAATGATCCATAATAATAATAATAATAATAATAATAATAATAATAATAATAATAATAATAAAATTATAATAATAGTAAAGTTGGAAGGGATCTTGGAGGTCTTCCAGTTCAACCCCTGCTCAAGCAGGAGACTCTATACATTGGCTGTCCAATCACTTCTTTAAAAACTCCAGTGTTGGACCACCCACAACTTCTGGTGGCAAGCTGTTCCACTGGTTAATTGTTCTCACTGTCGGGAAATTTCTCCTTAATTCTAGGCTGGTTTCCATCCTATCCTATTACTTCTTGTCTTGCCCTCTTCTTTGTGTCAGCCCCTCAAGTATTGGAAGAGTGCGACCACGTTTCCACGAAAATAAGATCTGGTCTTATATATATTTTTGCCTGCAAAAGAGGCATTAGATTAGAGCTTATTTTCAGGGAAGCACTAAAAAATCAAGCTGAGAGACAGTTGGGCGGAGTGGGCAGGCGGAGGCAGAGGCACACGGGGTCTTAACCAGGGCTGGTTTTGGGGGGCTTATATTAGGCGCCTGCATAAAAATCAAGCTAGGGCTTATTTTAAGGATAGGTCTTATTTTCAGGGAAACACACTATCTTACATGTGCCAGAGGCATTTGCCTGCAATCCCCCCCTCCGCGTGCCGCAACAGTTCGCTTGCCGCGCCATCCCTGCAAAGCCACAAGCCGTGCCGGGCTTCCCTTCCCTCCTCCCCCTGTTCATTTCGTTGAAGCGGGCTGAGTTGCAAGGCCCCTAGATTTGCCCCTCCCTCTCTTCCCGGTTGCCCCCCCAACCCACTGTCGCCTGTCTGCCCCCCTCTGACACCTTCTTTTTCGTAACTCGGGCCCCATCAGAGCCACGGCTCTGGTGCGGTCCGATTGATCGGAAAGTGCAGTTCCCGTGTAGCAGCCGCGGGTCTTAAAAAAAAATCGTGCATTACACGCTGCCCGCCCTACAGCTCCTAGGACAGTGGTGGCAAATCTATGGCATGCGTGCCAGAGGGGGGCACCCAGAGCCCTCTCTGTGGGCATGCGCACCGTCGCCCCAGCCCCTCCTCACCAGCAGCCCCCCGGAGAAGAGTCGCCCCCGGGCACGGCCCGCACAAAGCAGCTCAGCCAAGGACACGGCAGCTGGGCAGCGGGAACAAGACTCTGCCCTCGCACCCCGTCATGCACAGATGATGCTGCGGGCCTCAGGCAGAGGGTGTGACCACCATGGTGCCTGCTGGACCACCTGGGCGATCTGCGGCGGGCCGTGGAGGCGGTGAGTAGCCCTGCAGGCAGGTGGAGCGTAGCGGGGGTCTGGAGTGGGGCGGCTGGGGCTTGGGTGGGATGGGGCGGGGCAGGAGTTGGTTTTGGGCACACGGTTTCTAAAAGGTTGGCCATCACTGTCCTAGGATCATCCCGCCCATCGTCAATCGCACGCTGCCCCCGCAGCACCATTACTTCTGCCTGCCACCCACTTGGCTGGGGGCTGTTTGTCCCATGCAGCCAAAGTCCCGGGTTAAACGGTGCCTGGGTGGGAGGGCCAGGGACCCACTGGCCTTGGAGAATGGCCGGAGGAGGGCCAGCGGAGGAGAAACGCTGGCTGTAAGTCCGCTGAGATGGGTGGCTGGGGACGAAGGGGGCACAGCCAAGGGTCAGTGCCCAAACGTCCCGTTCCGTAGCTGGAGTCCATCAGATGCAAAGTTCAACAATTAGGGAAGGTGATTGCTTCTCGTACCGGGCAAATCGCTCAAGACAACTAGGAAAAGGGACGGGGGATTTAAGGCCCAATTCCTTTCTCTCCATCATGCCAAGTGGATCCCTGCACGCATTCTCTCACAGGATACCCTTGGACGTACGTTAAAAAGCAGGGCTGGCACAGGGGTGAACCGTTCCACGTGGATCATGCAGATGGCATCTGGCAGGTGTCCTTCCCGAGAGCCGACGAAAAACAATCTGTGGAGCAAGAACGAGTAAGCGTCTTAAGTTGCCCACTGGCCAATTCAGAAGGCAAAGATGCACGACTCCTAAAACATAATGGAGAACGATTGCAGGAATTGGGTACGTCAAATCCAGGGGTAGGCAACCCTGGCTCTTTTATGATTCTGGGCGTTGAAGTCCACGAGTTATAAAAGAGCCAAGGTTGCCTACCCCTGGTCTAGTCTAATGAAAAGAAGCACTAAGGAGGACATGAGGGCAGTGTTTCAATATCTCAGGGGCTGCCACAAAGAAGAGGCAGTCAAGCTCTTCTCCAAAGCGCCTAAAGTCAGGACAAGAAGCAACGGGTGGAAATTAATCAAGGAGAGAAGCGACCCAGAACTAAGGAGAAATTTGCTGTCGGTGAGAACAGTTAATCAGTGGAACGGCTTGCCTCCAGAGGTTGTGGGTGCTCCAACGTTGGAGGTTTTTAGATTGGACGACCATTTGTCTGAAGGAGTGTAGGGTCTCCTGCTTGAGCAGGGGGTTGGACTAGAAGACCTCCAAGATCCCTTCCAACTTGGTTATTCTGTTATTCCTTAGGTCTGGAGGCTAAATCGTAGGATGAACAGCTAAGGGAACTCAGTATGTTTAGTCTAATAAGGAGAAGACATGATCGCCATCTTCTAATACAGGAGTCTTCAAACTTGGCCCTTTGATGACTTGTGGACTTCAACTCCCAGAATTCCTCACCCATGCATGCCTGGGCTGAGAAATTCTGGGAGTTGAAGTCCACAAGTCATCAAAGGGCCAAGTTGGAAGACCCCTGTTCTAATACTTGAAGGCTGTCACAGGGAAGAGGGCACCGACTGATTCGTCGTACCACCTGAGGGCAGGATAAGAAGCAACGGGGTGGAAACGCATCGGAATAGGGAACGTTTTTGATTTTCAGAGGATTATTCCCCCGCAAAGCAGAAGTTTAAAAATGAATTTGGGAAGCCTCTTGAGCGGTAAAGAGAACACACGTCTAATGGTTTACCTGGAAGCAGCTAGAATAGAAGCATTAAGGCCTCCAAAGCAGGATAGAGCCACAGCAAGTGGGATGGTCCAACTCATCACTCCAAAAACCTGATCACCAAAAGTCTAAAAGAGAGAGAGAGAGAGAGAGAGAGAGAGAGAGAGAGAGAGAGAGAGAGAGAGAGAGAGAGAGAGAGAGAGAGAGAGAGAGAGAGAGAGAGAGAGGTTTTCAATAAGCTGCTGGCACCGACTTTATGCAAGAGCATGAGTGGACAATTATGGCAACTTTGTGATTGGTGGACTTCAATTCCCAGAATTCCTGGCTGGCTAGGGAATTCTGGGAGTTGAAGTTGCCAGGGTTGAACAATCCTGGCTGGCCTAGCTAGCTGGGGAATTCTGGGAATTGAAGTGCAGAGGACATAAATTTGCTGAGGTTGAACAATCCTGGCTAGCTGGGGAATTCTGGGAGTCGAAGTCCAGAGGACATAAAGTTGCGGAGGTTGAACAATCCTGGCTGGCCTAGCTAGCTGGGGAATTCTGGGAACTGAAGTCCAGAGGACATAAATTTGCTGAGGTTGAACAATCCTGGCTAGCTGGGGAATTCTGGGAGTCGAAGTCCAGAGGACTTAAAGTTGCCGAGGTTGAACAATCCTGGCTGGCCTAGCTAGCTGGGGAATTCTGGGAGTCGAAGTCCAGAGGACTTAAAGTTGCCCAGGTTGAACAATCCTGCTTTAAGGGGCAATCCGCTGCTGGATTCCACTAATGTGTCTCAGGAATGGGACGGGATGAGCTAAGAAGAGACTGGACAGCCATTTGTCCGAAATGGTGTAGGGTTTCCTGCCTGGGCAGGGGGTTGGACTAAATGACCTCCAAGGTCCCTTCCAACTTTACTACTATTACTATTACTAACCACAGCCACCGCGTCGCTCGAAAGGATCTCCGCCTTGCTCAGGACTGCGTAGTAGGCCACGTTGGTCATGATGTAGATCACCGTGACGATCGGCATGGATATGCCAATGGAGAGGGGAAGGTTCCTGCGGAGTAGCGGAGAAAGAATATTGTCACATCCGGGCTCTCTGCTGTGCCTATTCCACACGTTCTGCGGTTTGGCTAACACCCGCTTCAGAGCAATCCGGGCTAGGAGAGGCAGCTTGAGAAACTAAATGTATTTATTTAATTTGATTTTTTTTTTTTACCCTGCCTTTTCTTATTCCTATAAACATCTCAAGGCGGCGGGAAATATCTAATGCTCCTTCCTTCTCCGTCTTCCCCACAATAACAACAACCTTGTGAGGTGGGTTGGGCTGAGGGAGAATGATTGGCCCAAAGACAACCCCCCCCCCAAGCTGGCTTTCATGCCCAAGGCGGGACTAGAACTTCCCGTCTCCTGGTGATTGGTCTAAAGTCACCCATTCAGCTTTCATGTCCAAGGCGGGACTAGAACTCCCCATCTCCTGGTGATTGGTCTAAAGTCACCCATTCAGCTTTCATGCCCAAGGCGGGACTAGAACTCACAGTCTCCTGGTGATTGGTCTAAAGTCACCCATTCGGCTTTCATGCCCAAGGCAGGACTAGAACTCACAGTCTCCTGGTGATTGGTCTAAAGTCACCCATTCAGCTTTCATGCCCAAGGCAGGACTAGAACTCACAATCTCCTGGTGATTGGTCTAAAGTCACCCATTCAGCTTTCATGCCCAAGGCAGGACTAGAACTCACAATCTCCTGGTGATTGGTCTAAAGTCACCCATTAAGCTTTCATCCCCAAGGCGGGACTAGAACTCACAGTCTCCTGGTGATTGGTCTAAAGTCACCCATTCAGCTTTCATGCCCAAGGCGGGACTAGAACTCCCCGTCTCCTGGTGATTGGTCTAAAGTCACCCATTCGGCTTTCATGCCCAAGGTGGGACTAGAACTCCCCGTCTCCTGGTGATTGGTCTAAAGTCACCCATTCGGCTTTCATGCCCAAGGCGGGACTAGAACTCCCCGTCTCCTGGTGATTGGTCTAAAGTCACCCATTCGGCTTTCATGCCCAAGGTGGGACTAGAACTCACAGTCTCCTAGTGATTGGTTTAAAGTCACCAGCTGGCGTTCATCCCTAAAGCGGGACTAGAACTCACAGTTTCCTGGTTTCTAGGCCAGCACCTTAACTACTACACCAAACCAGCTTTGGCTAAATTTCTTGGCTAAGCTCTCCTATTCCCTTCACTTCTAGTGGCAATGAGTTCTCCTGGCTTTCTTTTCATTTCATAAAAGAATGGGGAGAAACTCCCAACACCGGGGGTTGAGAATTCATTTCTTCCTTCCATTAAAAAAAAAAAAATCCCAGCTCAGTGGGAAAATCTTGTGCTTCGTTCGAACTTTCAAACTTTCTTGTCTCGCAAGAGACCTCGTTGGGGGCGAAAGGCTGCTTTTTGGGGGCCGAAATTGCAGGATTTCTTCCTGCTTTTGCCTTCTCTGGGAAATCTGTCTTAGCAGAAACTGTACGAACTTTTTAGATTCCGTCAACTTGTTAAGAGCTATGCTGCAATGCCTACCTTTGCCCAATAGGTGGCACCCGCTCTCCACCTCATTCCACCCAAATAAAACCTCCCAGGAATTTCCAATCAGGAAAGAACAAAGCTTGGGTATTTCATAGAACCATAGGGCTGGAAAGGGACCTCAGAGATCTTCTAGTCCAACCCCCTGCCTAAGGGGTAGTCTCTTTACCCAGGGCACTTTGGAGAATCTACCGCAGATGGATGGATGGATGGATGGATGATAGATATATAGATGGATGGATGGATGGATAGACAGACAGACAGACAATAAATGATGGCTAGATGATAAATATATAGATGGATGGATGGATGGATGGATGGATGGATGGATGGATAGATAGATAGATAGATAGATAGATAGATAGATAGATAGATAGATAGATAGATAGATAGATAGCAACCTAGAACTAAGGAGAAACTTCCTGACAATTAGAACAATTAACCAGTGGAACAACCTGCCTCCAGAAGCGGTGAATGCTCCAACACTGGAAGTTTTTAAGAAGAGACTGGACAGCCATTTGTCTGAAATGGTATAGGCTTTCCTGCCTGAGCAGGGGGTTGGACTAGATGACCTCCAAGGTCCCTTCCAACTTTATTATTATTATTATTATTATTATTGTTGTTGTTTGTTTATTATTATTATTATTATTATTATTATTATTATTATTATTATTATTATTATTGCTTCTCCAGGTCTTCTTGTCCTCTATCATCTTCTAGAGTCCATTGAAGCTCACACCTCCTGCTTCAGTGACTCCCTCCAGCCACCTCATTCTCTGTCGTCCCCTTTTTCTATTGCCCTCAGTCAGAAATGGCCACTTGATACTATCATGGAAAAGTAAAAAGTTCAGGCTAGATGTTCATGCTTTATTCTACCGCAACAGAGGACGTGGGAAGCCAATGTCTTTTTTTTTTTCCCTCTCCCCCTCACTTTCCTTTCCCTTTTCCCTCCCTCTTGTGCCCTGCTATCTGCTGTGTATTTTGTATTTTACTCTATAATCTAATAAAATGGGGGGAGAGAGAGAGAGAGAGAGAGAGAGAGAAACAAGGGGCTAGCCCAGGAGTAGGCAACCTTGGCTCTTTTATGACTCGTGGACTTCAACTCCCAGAATTCCTGAGCCAGCCCCGCTGAGGGGAAAGGGAGAGATTTCCAAGCTGAGCCAGGCTGGCTCAGGAATTCTGGGAGTTGAAGTCCACGAGTCATGAGGGAGCCATAGTTCCCCCATGCTGGCTCAGGAATTCTGGGAGTTGAAGTCCACAAGTCATAAAAGAGCCAAGGTTGCCTACCCCTGGGCTAGACCGTGTGAATTCCACACCCAAGAAAGAGAAGGATCCTTCAGCCGAGCAAGGACTCCTGCCAGCTTAATCTCCAGCCAGGAATTTATGGATTGGAGACAAAGTCTGAAGAACAAGGAAGGGCCAGTTAATCAGGTTCAACCACCTCCTCCTCCTCCGACTTGCCCCTTTGGGAGGGTCAGCATAAAATCCTAAGGTCCTTCCACGGAAACAAGGGGTGGGGAAGCAACATTTGCCCTATCCTCCTGGACCGTGGGACGGGAACACGCCGAGCCCAGTGATGTCAACAAGCCGGGAAGGATCCCACAGTTTTTTTTCCTCCAGCTAGTTTGCAAGGCTGACCTTTCGGGGTTCTTGATTTCCTCCGTGACAAAATTAAGGGTGTCCCATCCCGAGTAGGAGAAGAGCGCGGAGTAGAGGGCCAGCGCGATGTTTCCCACGTCCCAGGCCGATCCCTCGAACGCGTCGGCCAAATTCTCGGAATGTCCTGTGGGAGAGAGAGAGAGAGAGAAAAAAAATGCAAAGGTTTTGCCCCCAAATTACACGGAAACACGGGGGAATCCTCCGCTTCTGGACCACCCACGGGAGCCCAAAACTTCCGTAGCGAAGCGAGACACTTGTTCGAGTGAGTTTTGCCCCCCCGCCCCGTTTTACGGCTTTTCCTGCCGCCGTTGTTCAGTCCGAACTGCCGTTAGTTCTTCAGTTAGTAACGTGGGTTGTGCACATTTCATGACCCCAACTAGGTAACATTATCAGTGCTAACAAGCAAGCTCAGAGAGCATCAAGGACCCCTCAACACTGGGACGCTTCGTTTCAAAGATGATTAGGGGACTGGAGGCTAAAACATATGAGGAACGGTTGCTAGAATTGGGTATGTCTAGTTTAACGAAGAGAAGGACAAGGGGGGACATGATAGCAGTGTTCCAATATCTCAGGGGCTGCCATAAAGAAGAGGGAATTAAGATATTCTCCAAAGCACCTGAAGGCAGGACAAGAAGCAACGGGTGGAAACTAATCAAGGAGAGAAGCAACCTAGAACTAAGGAGAAACTTCCTGACAGTGAGAACAATTAATCAGTGGAACAGCTTTCCTCCAGAAGCAGTAAATGCTCCAACCCTGGAAGTTTTTAAGAAGAGACTGGACAGCCATTTGTCTGAAATGGTGTAGGGTTCCTGCCCGAGCAGGGGGTTGGACTAGATGACCTCCAAGGTCCCTTCCAACTTTACTACTACTATTATTATTATAACTCAGTTTGAATCTCACCCCTGACAAGGGCTCAACTTTTTTTTTTTTTTTAATTATTGAAAATTTTTAGGTTTTACAAAAAGAAAAAATTCCCCTCCCCCACACCCTCCCACCCCTCCCCTCCCCCAATCTTCCCAGAGCTGAATACAGGCTTAATTAAAAAAAAAAATTTAAAAGAATCTTGAAACACTTATAAACCATAAACAAATCTAAATACGTGAATTAAACAAATTATAAAATAATTAACAACAATATATAAAAAAATACAAGAAGAAAGAAAAGAAAAAACAGAAAAAGAAAAATTAAAAAAAAATAAAAAATAAAAATAAAAGAAAATATCTAAGAACTATCTTCAACTTTAATTATAAATCATTCAAAAACTAAGTCGTATTTTTTTTATATCCAACTTATATTGTATGAAATCTATCCATCTTTTCCATACCAGGCGATACTTCTCCTGCGATTGATCTTTCAAGAAAGCCGAAATCTTTGCCATTTCCGCCAAATAAGAAACTTTAAAAAACCATTCTTGCAATGTAGGCAAAGATTCCTTCTTCCAAAAGTGAAGGGCTCAACTTTTATCAATTGGGGTGGCAGTACCCCACCTTCCTGGCCCCTGGGGGATGGTATGAGAGTAAAAACCCCGCAGCCAGAGTTTCAGTACCTTGTCCAATGCGGACGATGCCTGCAATGATCACAACAATGAGGGCTAGCACCTTGGCGTAGGTGGACAGGTCCTGGACCCGGGTTCCCCACTTCACGTAGGCACAGTTCACGAAAGTCAGGAAGCCTGAAGAGAAGAAGGGGGGTGGGGAAAGCAGAATGACTTCCAAGGAAGGGTGTAATTTTCTTCCTTCGTCCGAGTTGTGGATCTGTGGGCTTAAGACGCCCCTCCCCAGTTACAGGTGGTCCTCGCCGTACAACCACGACGGAGCCCAAAATTTAGGTTGCTAAGCGAGGCGAGAGGTTAAGCGAATTTTGCGCCTCCTTTTACGGCCTTTCTCGTCACAGTCGTTAAGGGAATCACTGCAGGTGTGAAGTTAGTCACACGGTTGTAAAGTGAATTTGGCTTCCCCATTGATTCTGTTGGTCTTAAAAGTCACAGAGGCACTACAATCGTCGTAAATAGGAGTCAGTTGCCAAGCATCTGAACTTCGATCGCACAATCTTGCTGGAACGGTCATGGGTGTGGGAAACCGGTCAAGTCGCTTTTTTGAGTGACGTAATTTCGAACGGTCGCTAAACAAACTGTTATTAAGTTGAGGTTCTAAGAAATTAATGGAACTTATCTCCCCTTGAATTCTGAAACTTGAAGACCCTTTCAGAAGCTGTGTTGGTGTACCATGGTGGGTTTTAAAAGAAGGAGACCATTTCTACAATAATACTACAGCGCTCAATTTTCTCCCCACAGAATCCAAGTGGTAAAGATAAAGTACTTAAATGACACCAGCATACCCCCTATCCACAGTAGTGGCCAAAATTGTGGAAACCTTTTGGGAAAAGTGTACATTTGAGGTTTGATGACTAATAACACCACTCTTTTTTTGGAGTAGTACCATAAAATTATATATCAATGGAAAGATAATTTAATCAAGAACGTAACGCAACAAACTTTGTTCAACTATCTGTACCGTATTCTGTGAAAAGTTATAAAATAACCAGAAAAAGGAAGCACAACTTGCTTAGGTTGATCTCAGGTAGTTTCCCTTCGTCTGATTGTAGCCAATGAGCACGAGTGTTTAGAGAACCAATCAGGTGTCATCTTGTTTTGGCAATGAGCCAATCAGATCACGGTAGGATCCAGTTATTGATGTCCTGTATTGAAGCTGAGAGGAGGACATTTGTCAGTGTGTTATGTGATCGCTATCGAGTTGGCTGGGTTTTTTGGTGTTCTTTCATTTAGTGAGCTTGTAAAATGTAATAAAATTAAAGTAATGGTGGCAAAGAGTTGACCAGTCGCCCAGAAAGCGACGTAAAATAGTATTATTAAGTGAACAAGGCTACAGTTATAAAGAAATGAGAAGAAAAATGGGTGGAAACTTAACCAAAGGTGGCATTCCTACCGTACACTTTTCCCAAAAGCTTTCCACAATTTTGGCCGCTACTGTACATTGCTCTTCAAAGGCCATTCTCTCCCCTATTATGCAAATGAAATTTTCTCCATTGTTCCCTAACCTGGGCGAAAGGTGTCTATTCTTCAGCTGTTACAGGTGGCCTTCAACATAGGACCATAGCAGAGCCCAAAATTCCTGTCGCTAGCGGTGTCACACTTGTTAAGTGAATTTTGCCCCATTTTACAACCTTTCTTGCCACACTTATTAAGGCAGTGGTTCTCAACCTGTGGGTCAGGACCCCATTTGGGGTCGAACGACCATTTCACGGGGGTCACCAAACAACGCAATCCGCCATTTTTTTCCCCCTTTTCCTTAGCTGTGCTACTCCCTTTGATTCTATTGGCTTTTGAAAGCCAATAGAATAGACTCTCTTGAATAGAGTCTAATTCTATTGGCTTTCAAAAGCCAATAGGAATTGTCCAGGCTGTCTCTGACCTGCTGAGCCCGCCAAAAGTCCCATTCTGCAAACGGTGCTGCACCAGTTGAGTAGTCCTCGACTTACGACCGGTTGGGGGGTCGTGGCATTAAAAAGGTTGAGAACCACTGTATTAAGGGAATCCCTGCAGTTATTACTGTCATGGTTCTGACAGACGAAACTCTTCAAAAGAACTTCGAGGCCTTGTTTACCTTAAAGAATCTTTATTTTGAGTAGCATAACTTCGGCACTGCATAATCGAAGCCAAAAACTGAATTCCCCTCCCCTGAGCACATAGTGTCAAAGCACAATTCCCTCCTTCCATTAAGTCATAAATCACATTCCCCAATTAGCTTGAAGCTGTGGGCCTCCTCTTCAGTTCTCCAGCCCCCCAATTCCTTATCAGCTCTGGTTACAATAACCTTGTTTCTCAGGCTAGGTCTAGTGTTGTTATGTCTAGCTCAGGGATAGGCAACCTTGGCTCTTTTATGACTCGTAGACTTCAACTCCCAGAATTTCTGAGCCAGCATGGCTCAGCTTGGAAACATCTCCCTTTCCCCTCAGCATGGCTGGCTCAAGAATTCTAGGAGTTGAAGTCCACGAGTCAAAAAAGAGCCAAGGTTGCCTACCCCTGTTCTAGGCCAACCCTCAGCTGAAGGAATAGAATAGAATAGAATAGAATAGAATAGAATAGAATAGAATAGAATAGAATAGAATAGAATAGCCAGCCATACCGAGGGGAAAGGGAGAGGTTTCCAAGCTGAGCCATGCTGGCTCAATAAGCTGAGCCATGCTGGCTCAGGAATTCTGGGAGTTGAAGTCCACAAGTCATAAAAAGCGGCCATCGTTCCCCACCTCTGGTCTAGGAAAGGGCTAGGCCACCTTGGCTCTTTTATGACTCGTGGACGTCCAACTCCCAGAATTCCTGAGCCAGCCACGCTGAGGGGAAAGGGAGAGGTTTCCAAGCTAAGCCATGGCTGGCTCAGGAATTCTGGGAGTTGAAGTCCACAAGTCATAAAAGAGAGCCAAGGTTGTCTACTCCTGGTCTAGCTGGACTCTCGTTCACATCCCCCCTTCCCAGCATCATCTAACTCTAAAAGCAAAAGGTAAAAGATGGCTACATTTCCCTTTGTTGTCAAGGCAAAAACATCCGACGTTAGCAGCATTGACAATTACATTGGTCATGTGGTTGTTAAATGGATCCTGCTCCCCGCCCCCCGCAAAAGGGGATTATGTGACCCCCCCTGGGATGCTGCAAGCGTCACAAATAGGAGTCAGTTGCCCAGTATGTGAATTTCAATCACGTCACCTTGGGGAGGCTACAAGGGCCGTTAAGTGTGAAAAATGGCCATGTTGCTTCTTTCCGGTGCCGTTGTAACTTCGGCCACTAAATAAACTGTTGTAAATCGAGGACTGCCCACACAATGAATGACAGCAGCTGCTTGCAAGCCCAAGAGCCTGTGGTCTTCTTTCCCCAAAGCAGCTCTTGAGTCCGAAACCATGATGTGTTTGCTTTGATCAAAAATCAGAAATACAAAGAAAATTTATATGAAATGTTTTATAGATGGCCTATGACACCAGTTCGCTTAGCGAAAATGTTTAAAAAATTTATCGGATACATGTTGGAAATGTAAGCAACAACCGGGTACTTATTATCATGTCTGGTGGACATGTTCTATTGCAAAAAAAATATTGGTCTAAGATTCATAGATGGTTAGAAAAGAGGATGAAAATCCCGATAGAATTTAAACCAGAACTGTTCCTGTTAGGTATATTAAGACCTACTTATGGCAAAAAAAAATGATTATTTAATATTACATGTATTAACAGCTGCAAGAATAGTATTCGCCCAATTTTGGAAAAATTAAAACCTACCATCGGACCAGATTATAATTTTGAAAATCCTAGATTGTGCAGAAACGGACAGATTAACCTTAGAGATGAAGGAGAAAGAGGATTCAATCTTCTATAAAACCTGGGGAAAATTTTATCAGTGGGTTGAAACATATTAGAATAAGAAGAGATTTTAGAGCTTCATTATATTAAGTATTAAGCTTGATGATTGGAAATAGTTGTTATGCTATTGACTATGTTAATTATTTAAAGGAATATTACTGTTTTGCCAAATGTCAGTTGTAACTACACCAATTTATTCTTATAAATGTCTAGTACAGTGGTTCTCAACCTTTTTAATGCCACGACCCCCAACCGGTCATAAGTCGAGGACTACTCAACCGGTCGTAAGTCAAGGACTACTCAACTGGTGCAACACCGTTTGCAGAATGGGACTTTTGGCGGGCTCAGCAGGGCAGAGACAGCCTGGACAATTCCTATTGGCTTTTGAAAGCCAATAGAATTAGACTCTATTCAAGAGAGTGTATTCCATTGGCTTTCAAAAGCCAATAGAATAAAAGGGAGTAGCACAGCTAAGGAAAAGGGGAAAAAAATGGCGGACTGCGTTGTTTGGCAACCCCCGCGAAATGGTCGTTCGACCCCAAATGGGGTCCCGACCCACAGGTTGAGAACCACTGGTCTAGTATTATATAAACAATAATACTCAATATGAAGACCCGGACGACAGCTTGTTCGCGGAATTACGTATTTACTGTAGTTATCCACACCCTGTCCCCTTTATCCCGATTTCCCCGTACCTGCACCGACCCCACCTTTTCCCTACCCATGTAAAATCTAATAAAATATATATTTTAAAAAAAATCAGAAATGGATGGAAGCTACTGGCCACAGAGACCCCTGGACATTTGCCGTATCTTGTGTTTCTCCCTTAGATCCTGTTTCTTTAATCCTTCTGAATTGTGAAGCAATCACACCGCAAAGACAGGGAGCTGAATTAGTTAACCGGCTAACTGGGAGGGGTGGATGGACTGGGAGAGATAACTGGTAGGTCGGGTAGATAAGACACAAAGTCCTAGATAATCAGAGATTTATATGTTTTCTTAAGCCTGCAGTACTGATCCACCCTGGGGTTTTCTCCAGGCCCTGGGGAGTACAAATCCCATCATTCTCAGCCAACCACCAAGCCAGTCTTGCAGGGCTGGCGGCAAACTTGTCGATATGTCAAGAGAGAGAGGATTGCAGCATTTTCTCCCCGGTTCTCAAAACTAGGGAAGAAATCGGCCCTAGAGATTTGGAATTAACGAAGCGGGGAGCGAGGTTTCGCCCCTACATTTGGTGGGCCCGGAAGGGGGTATAAGCTGCAGGCAGTCCTCGAACGTACGACCGCGGTTGCTAAGCAAGACAGATGTCCAGCAACTTTCGTCCCCATTCTACGACCTTGCTTGCCACAGTTGTTACGTGAATGGGTGCAGTGGTTTAGGTTGTTAAGTGATTCTGGTTTCCCCGTT